AGTACGGCCTGCGCAGTTTTGAGGGCTGCGCACACACTGGCGCTGGCCTTTTAAACAATTTTAAAACAATGTTTATCATTTTTTACAACCTGATTGAATCCAATTTTCTATTAAACCTTTTTTATATCCCCATGGAGATCATATTGTCCATAATGTTCCATCGATTTTTTTATTTATTTTTTATTTATTTTTATTCATTTAATCATATTAAAGATTTATACGTTTTAGAAACATTATCACCTCTAAGGATCCACTTGAACTTCCCTTTGAGCCCTCTGAGTGAGTGAGAAATACGCCAGGCTTTCTAGATGGGCTACACTATCCTTTCCTCCAAACATGCACATACACTATCCTTTCCTCCAAACATGCCATGCTGGCAAAATAACGAGGAAACATGTCCTAGAAGACATAGACACTTGTGACGAGAGTTCATCCCCCTCGACGAATCTAAAACACAAGTCCCTCCCCCTGTTTTAGTAGGAGCCTATTACATGGTGAACTGATCGTTCACTCCTCCCCCCTGTCAGTTTTAAAGTGGAGAACCAGCTTCCCGCGGTTTGTACCATTCTGTGGCTTGAGAAAGAGGAAACCTCCTCGAAACGCGTAGCCGATTCCTGCAGGCACCAAGATCTACCCCCCCTAATAGATCCTTCACTGCCCCACGCACTGGCCCATCTCTGTGCACTCCGCTGACAGCTCCATCTGACACTGCGCCAAGACGCATAGAGTCCGGGGTCACAGAGCCGATCGCGGCTTACCGCATTCCCGTCTCAGCCGCCGCGGCTCACCCTGGCCGGCTGAGCTTGTGATATCGGCTGACACTTTGTTCTCCCACTCCGATCAGACACCCACTCTCTCCCCACCTGCCAGCTGTGGACACCTGATCAGACAGACCCTGGAGAGCATCCTGTGAGAGACACCAGGGCACGTACTCTCACATCTTAACTGTAAGTCACCATTTGTTTCTTCTCACACGACAAGCCAGTTTTTGGTTGTCCGCATTTTTAACTGATATGCATCTTCCCTAGCTTTGTGTGCCCATCCATCGCTTAGCACATTGGGTCACTCACGTTATCATAGGTAGTTGCGCTCCTCAGAAAAAGTGTTTTGTTTTGTCTTGAATTGTGATACACAGGGTCACTCCCCCTGCATTGAGGAGCTTTGCACACCATCCCCTAGCAGATAAACTTCTTACCTGTGGAGTGCGCTCTAACCATTGTGTGTTTTTTATTGCCGCTGGATAAGCTGGTCAGGATCAGAGACGCTTTACACTCACTGGTGGTGTCTCAAGTGTGTTCCAGGTGGGAGCTCCAGTCGTTATTAGGTATGTTGAATTTTGCCATGCGTATTGTCCCGCAAGGTAGATCCTTTATTTCCAGGTTGTTAGCGTGGTTACCAGCAGCGCCCGAGCAGGACTCTTTAGTGCACATTGATGTGGCAGGGCGAGCGGACTTGGTCATGTGGGACGAATTCCTGCAGCAGTGGAACGGCATTTCCATGTTTATTCCGCAAGCCTCTCATTTTTCTCCACAGGTAGTTACGGATGCAGCTGCATCTTCAGGCTTTGGAGCCATTTTTGGCCCACATTGGTTTGCTAGCCCATGACCGGTAGAAGTAAGGGATGTTTCCATGGTCGCTCGCACATCTGCATTGTTTGAGATCTATCCCATTGTTGCCGCCGCTAAGGCATGGGGCCACTTGTGGTCTGGCCACACAGTGACTTTTCTCAGACAATCAAGCTACTGCAGATATCATAAACAAAGGTAGATCAAAGTCGCTGGTGATCACGTCCTTTCTGTGTAGGCTAATATGGCTTTCTCTGCAACACAATTTTAATATCACTTGTTGCTATATTCCTGGTGTGCATAACCTGGCTGCGGATGCTTTATCTAGGATAAAAATCCATCTTTTCTTTAAACAGAAACCAGACGTAGATGCAATCGCCACACCTGCGCCATCCTTTCGTCATCTAGTGTTGGATTAGAGAGACACCAGCTCCACGCAACTAGACTTATCAGCGACTCTCTTTCAGTTAATACCCGCAAAGCGTACAATACTGCTTGGAAGGCTTTCTGTCGTTTCCAGCTCAGTTATGCCACTCACGATCCCGGCAACGTGTCTTATATCCTCGCCTTCATTTCCTATTGTCACACAGATTTGAAACTCGCATATAATTCCATCAGGTTATACTTAGCAGGCGTGCAACATTTTTTACCTCTTTCCTACCCAGATAGACAGTCGCTATTTTCTGCTCACCCCGTCAGAGCCATACTTAAGGGGTTACAGAAAGCTGGGAAAGAGGCAGTTGCCCATATCCAGCAGCATGTTCCGGGCAATGTCCGACATGTTAGACAGAGCTCTGTTCGGTGTCATGCAGAGTCTGGTGCTAAAGGCTTCGATATATCTAGCCTTCTATGGGTTCTTGCGGCCAGGAGAATTCACGGGTGCATGTGAATTCTCCTGGCCGCAAGAACCCATAGAAGGCTAGATATATCGAAGCCTTTTCCAGCATACTGCATTAGAGTCAGTTAATTCGGTTCCCAGGATATTATGAGATACTAATCAGGTGGGTGCTTCCACTGAAATAAAATTGTTTCCTTCAGCCAACGCATGGTGCCCTGTGGCAGTGTTGGACAGTCTCATGTCTGGGTTGTGCCAGGAACAGAGTGACAGTCCTTTGTTGCCTTTTGCGCACACTCCACTGTCAACCAATCAGTTCATTGTACACATTCGGTTACTCCTCAGTCAGTTAGGGGTTAACCCAAAGCAGTACTCGGGACATTCATTCCGGATATGGGCGGCTTTAGCAGCATCCCGACAGGGAGTCCCAGCACATATAATTAAGCATCTTGGACGGTGGAGTTCTTCTTGTTTCAATAGGTACATTCCGAACCCACATGTCGAGTTGGCAGACGCTTTTTCCAAGCTGGCTGAATAATGTAGTTAGGGGTAAGTTTCAATTACTACATGGCTGGTTTTGCCCCCTTATTGGCATTACTGCCCACCCGGACCAAGGCACACCTCAGGTCAGTATCTTATTGTAATCACGTACAGTGTAGAGTGGACTCCTAACACAAGTTGGAAGGCTAATGAGTTATCCTGAATTTGTGGGAGGGGTCTGCGCCTTTCTTACCCCTAAGCCGCACTGACAGGATTGCTTGGGATGGGACGTTTTCAGCATAACCCTCCCACCCATCCCTTGGGTTCTACAGTCAAATCTTCACATTCACTCAGAGTATGCCCCTTATTGGCATTACTGCCCACCCGGACCAAGGCACACCTCAGGTCAGTATCTTATTGTAATCACGTACAAATCTTTGGATTCAGGTGTTCCAGTCACCTCCATGGACATGGGTGTGTAAAATCAAGCACCTAGGCATGCAGACTGCTTCTATAAAACATTTGTGAAAGAATGGGTCGCTCTCAGGAGCTCAGTGAATTCAAGCATGGTACCGTAAAATGACAGAGCCGGGGTTAGCACATGCTGAAGCTCACAGTGCGCAGAAGTCGCAAACTTTCTGCAGAGTCAATAGCTAGAGACCTACAAACTTTGTGTGGCCTTCAGATTGGCAACAGTGCGTAGAGAGCTTCATGGAATGGATTTCCATGGCCAAGCAGCTGCATTCAATCCTTACATCACCAAGTGCAATGCAAAGCGTTGGATGCAGTGGTGTAAAGCACACCGCCACTGGACTCTAGAGAAGTGGAGACATGTTCTCTGGAGTGACGAATCACGCTTCTGTCTGGCAATACTATGGACGTGTCTGGGTTTGGTGGTTGCCAGGAGAATGGTACTTGCCTGGCTGCATTGTGCCAAGTATAAAGTTTGGTGGAGGGGGGATTATGGTGTGGGGTTTGTTTTTCAGGGGTTGGGCTTGGCCTCTTAATTCCAGTGAAGGGAACTCTTAAGGCATCAGCATACCAAGACATTTTGGACAATTTCATGCTCTCAACTTTGTGGGAACAGTTTGGGGGTGGCCCCTTCCTGTTCCAACATGACTGCGCACTAGTGCACAAAGCAAAGTCCATAAAGACATGAATGAGCGAGTTTGGGGTGGAGAAACTTGACTGGCCTGCACAGAGTCCTGACCTCAACCCGATAGAACATCTTTGGGATGATTTAGAGCGCAGACTGCGAGCCAGGCCTTCTCGTCTAACATCAGTACCTGACCTCACAAATGCGCTTCTGGAAGAATGGTCAAACATTCCCATAGACACTCTCCTAAACTTTGTTCACAGCCATCCCAGAAGAGTTGAAGTTGTTATAGCTGCAAAGGGTGGCCCAACTCAATATTGAACCCTATGGACTAAGACTCGGATGCCACTAAAGTTCATGTGTGCATAGTGTATATGTCTATCTCAATTGATATGCTTTTTGTTAAATAAGCATGTCAATATAATAGTAATAATAATAATGTACTGCTATAGTAATATCCAGAAATAAAACACCTTTTTACCGTGAGTTTTACTTTTAAAATCATTGTGTTCATTTTTTTTTATTAATAAGTGAACATTTGCTTTATAAAATCTAAAGGTAAATGGCAAACATAGGGCATCGCTTCTTGCTTGAGACAAAACTTGTAAGACAAGCAGAAAAAAAAAAAAAAGATTAGATTATTTTTCACTACATTAACAGGGACACGAATTTCAGAGAAACAAAAAGCATGTGCAATGCTAGTATCTGTACAGCACATAAAACCTTTAAATTTCTGCCATTAGTTGTCTTGAATTTGTTGGTATAGTTGGTTAATACAGTAAAACACAAATATATGAAATTAGCATGGGATTCTAAAATTCATTTAATGTTGGGTTGGTTGCATTTTTGTTAATTTAGGATATATTTTATCACATCCACAAAGAATGCAACCTTGAGTGAGAACCAAACTATATAATTAGATTTGTTTTAAACTTTGATTGCTATAAGTCAGCCATCCATTTTAATTGGTGTATTGGTCTAAATCAAGGGTGAATACTGAATTAAGCATGCAGTAGTGTTTTTCATATCAATGGCATCAAACAGTAAGAAGCTGGATAGCATTGCCCAGAAATAAGGCATTGCCTGGCACTGTGTTCTGTTGAACTTTATAGGTACGTTTGAATGCTAAATGCAGTATACACCAGTGTTTACTTCATATAGGCCATTACCCTTTAAATTAATGTTGTCCAGTCCTGAATATGTCAGAGGTCATCTAGAAACTAGAACTCATCTTGAAACTAGAAACATTATCTAGTTTCTTTATACAGCATAATTAAAGAAGGCCACAAAGAGTGCTGTCAAATGCTTTGTTTCATTAACATAATGAAGTCTATTTTGGGATGAAAATAGAAACAAAATGAGAGCATTACATTGGTATCCTGTACACAGGACTAAAAATGCCAGTTTAAAAAAAGTCTTACAGCATAAAGATTTAGGAGCACACACAATATTATTTCTTAAAGTAAATCATAAAACAGTTTGTTAACATGATTTTTCCCCTTTTATATTCTATAGACTTGTGACAAGGTGAGCTGGTTCTTTGCAGTTTTCTTCAATGGGAGATTCATCTCTGTTTGGCGAGACTATGAATCCATCACTGCTCCCTCGTCCTAAAGGGTAGTAAGTGTGAAGCTGATGGATGTTATTCCGGTTGCCCAAATTTGGCATGCTTTTGTAGTATAAATCTTCTGAATCCCTAGTTTTGGCTGGCGAAGAATCAGTCTGAGTGCTAGTGGTTATGCTTCCTGTGACAGCTATGCCAGTTAATGTAGGCATGCTGGTATAAAGAGAATCCTTGTTTGGTGATTGCATTGCTTCAGTGTGCTCATTATTTAACAAGGGGAAAAAACTTTCACTGTTATCTGGTGGAATCTTTTTCCTGTTAAAGTGAAGAGGCTGGTGACTGTCAGCAGGGTAAACACGTGAGGGCAACAGTGGGGCATCAGACTCCTCATGTATAAGTTCTATACCCAATATCTCATCATTAATAAAAGAGGTGGCATCATCAAGGACAATTGATTCATCCTCTTTTATGTTGTTTATGTTATTTATCAACTTATTCACCAGATTTCGACTTTGTTCACATGAATGCTCATGATTGTTCATATAGGAAGGTATGTAGTTAGAAGTAAGTTCCTTCAGAATTTTTTTTTCTAAGGCAGTCTCTTTGTGGTTAAAGCCACGGTCAATTATTTTCACGCAGTCAGTAAGGTATCCTCCAGTTGCAATGCTGTAACTGTTCACATGGTTACCATTCAGTGGTAGAGTATCCATGACACTTGTATCCCTGGCATTGTTCAGCAGTCCCTCTGGAAAAAATACAAATGTTAGTATAAACATCTTTTAACCACATTACTAAAATTATTACATTTGCAACCTATGGCTGCATGTACATTTATTTGAAAAATTAGAATTTTTAGCCGCCAGTACATGTCTTAAAGAAATATGGTGAAACAAAAAAAACAAGATCCAAAAATCATAAAATATTTTCAGTCCATTGCTAAATGCTATTGGATATCTGTGAAAAGTGTAGGTAAACCAAGTGGTTCATCGCCCATAAAAAAAACTTATTCCAGTACAGTTTAGAAAAAAAGTAACCGCCACTTGCTGTCAGAAACCTCACATTTTGCTTTGGTCTAGTTTGCATAACCACTCACTAGTGATGTTTTTTTTTTAATAAAGGTTATATTTCTTCATACAAACCTCAGTTTGCCATTGATACCCAGTGAAGATGATGGTGCCAGTAATAGCATAGGTGAGATTGTTTCAAGTAAATGTCATTAATTCTGTTCAACAGTGCCAATACACAAATATTTAAGGCATATTGAAGTCCAATATTTTAAAAAGTAGTGGCCACACTGTATAGCAATAAACCTTCAAATGATAAATGCATACACAAATAAAAACAGCCTTTTACTGAATATGTCAGAGGTCATCTAGAAACTAGAACTCATCTTGAAACTAGAAACATTATCTAGTTTCTTTATACAGCATAATTAAAGAAGGCCACAAAGAGTGCTGTCAAATGCTTTGTTTCATTAACATAATGAAGTCTATTTTGGGATGAAAATAGAAACAAAATGAGAGCATTACATTGGTATCCTGTACACAGGACTAAAAATGCCAGTTTAAAAAAAGTCTTACAGCATAAAGATTTAGGAGCACACACAATATTATTTCTTAAAGTAATGGTGGGCACATTGTTATTGTGACAGCCCAGTTAATGATTAGTAAGATTAATGATAAGTAATATTATTTCTTAAAGTAATGGTGGGCACATTGTTATTGTGACAGGCCAGTTAATGATTAGTACGAAAGAGCCAATAAATATTGCAGCTATTACATGCAAATTACAGGCTTTTCCTGTGGTGCCTGTGTAACTTTTTAAAGTGGAAAAAAGTAAATAATATTATTTCCTATATACTCCTAGTAAATCCTAATTAACCTTAATTCACGTCCTCCTCTGCCTTGTCTCATTAGCTGTTTTTATTTTTACAATTTTCACTGTGCATGTTAATTAAAAAACAAACAAACATGGGCTTTAAAAATTTATTTCATTTGTAAAGAATTTCACCAGAAGCATAGTTTCAGTATTGTGATAAAGAGACAAATCACAAGATAAAGTTTTTACTTCCTATCAATAGTAACACCAGTTTTAAAACAAAGAAACAGTAAAACATGACAGATCACTTTTGCCTTTAAAATCTATAGTGAATTATACAACTCCTGAAAGATAATTCCAGGAAAAAGTCTTAAATGACGCCCTAAAAATAAAAATGTAGTTTTTTGGTATCCTTATATTAGGTCAGTAGCTGAAGTGGTAATATCAGTGCATTGTAGGGGAAAAGAACACAACAGGCCTTTTGTGGATTGCATGTAGAAATGCTGCATTCATCATAATTGCCTGAAGTCCTGGTCACTGCTGAACATCTTTTCTTGTAGATATCCTGGCACACTCCTGACTGGTATACCCCTTGTAGAATGGGTGCTGAAGTGACGGCGGATTGTGCCACACAAATCCAAGGGATGAAGTATGTCACCAGCACACCAGGGATCTTCGTCCCAAAAACAGCTTTATTGAAGATTAAGCATTCTGTCACAAAAATAACATTTGCTTGACCAATTGCTAATAAAGGTATTGTTAATAAAGGTATTGTTAGACAAAGACCCTTGGTGTGCTGGTGGCATACTTTATCTCAAGGCCATTGCTGGACAGTTCCAGGATTTTGTTCTGGCCCTTGCTTCAGAAGAGAGGCAGCAGTGTGGGAGCATGTGATCAGAAAAGTAGCACAGTCGAACGCCAGTGCAGGGCCTTATTTAGTGCAATGGGAGATACAAGATGCAAGGCGCTCGTGAAGACAGAGCTAATGTCTGGCAGCAGACATATTTAGTGTGCAAAGGCACAGGCAGCAGACATTAGAGGTATCCAGAAATGGAGCAAAGGTCAGGACAGACAAGCAAAGGAATCTGTGAACATGGCCAAATGTCAGCAACATTAGCAAATTAACAACAAGTAGTCAGATGCACTTGGTCAGCAAGAACATGGTATCACAAGCACAGGGTTACAGGCTGATGAGCTATAACCATGGACCAATCCCAGAGCTGGGGGTATGTGGCCAAACTTGTTACCCCCACAGCTGACAAGGCAATCAGGAAAAGTAGAGGGCAGCAGTTTGTAACCCTTTGGAAGAGCTAGAAGGCTGCATTATGTTGCCTAGCAACCAGGACACTAGCTGAGCAGAGGAAGAGCACTGTGTCCCATCACCAGGTAACCAGGACACAATCCCGTCTCTGGAAGCCAGAAGCAGACAGTGAGGGCCACCAGTGCATATAGGTAAGCCAGCTGCCTAATAACCCCCTTCCTTGAGGAGGGGCCTCCAGGACCCTTAGGAGCAGGTTTCTCTGGATAAGACTGGTAGAATTTCCTTATCAAACTTTTAACGTGAACTAAAAGAGGCCCAGACCCAAGAGCGTTTTTCGGGACCTCAACCCTTCATAGGATGAGGTACTGAAAAGAGTTTGGGTCCCTCCTGGAATCTACAATCATTGGTACCTCATACTCTTCTTGCCCATCCACAAGTACAGGAGCTCTGGAGGCTACAGAAATGTGATGATGCACAGGCTTCATTAAGGAGACATGAAATGTATTGGGGATCTTAAAGGGAGGGAGGTAGCTGGAACCGAAAAGAAACGGGGTTTATCTTGCAATGAATCTGGTACAGGCTGATGAACTTGGGTGAGAGTTTCTGTGAAGGCACTTTGAAAGAGATGTTTTTGTTTGAGAGCCAACAGGGTTGCCAACTTTGAGATGGTTAATGATAAGCATCAGTGACATTTTTCTGGGCACATGTGGTGCTAGGGATACTGGATGACAGATTGGACGGAGGAAGAATGTTTTGAGGAGAACATTTATGGGTGAATTCAGACAAACAGCAAAAATTATGCCTAGTCCAGCAAAAGTTATGCCTTGGTTATCTGACACAAATCATCAAAGAGAAAGCTCCAGAGACTGATTGGTCCTCTCAGTCTTTGACTGGGGGTGATAGGCAAAGAAAGAGAAACAGATCCCCAGCAGAGAGCTGAAGGCTTGCCAGAACTTTGAAACAAACAGAGATGTGGCAGGATGAGGCCCAAAGGCATGCTTCTTGGGCTCTCGCACCTAGCACAGACTTCAACAAAATTTAATGCACAAAGTTATTTTTTAGCACAACTATATACAGTATAGTTGTGCTCAAAAGTTTGCATACCCTGGCAAAAATTTTGAAATTTTGGCATTTATATTGAAAATATGACTGATCGTGCCAAAAAACTGTCTTTTATTTAAGGATAGTGATCATATGAAGCCATTTATTATCACATAGTTGTTTGGCTCATTTTTAAGTCATAATGATAACAGAAATTACCCAAATGGCCTTGATCAAGAGTTTACATACCCTGGAATGTTTGGCCTTGTTACACACACACACACAAGATGAAAGAAACAACAGGTTCCCATTTAGCTACACATTAGAGATCAGCTGAGAAACCATATGATCACATAAATGTTCTTCAAACAAAGTAAGCATGTAAAAAAAATATTTTTTTTACAAAAAATGTATATACACATAATTTACCCAATGTGCACACATACCCCCCTCCCCAACATTAGCAAAAACCCCTCCCTATATAAACACAATGCATGTAAGACCAGTTGGGTACCTGATGTGGGCCTATATAGAAAAAAATCATGCACATGTCCTGCGTTACTATAAACGCTAACCGTGTGGTGGGTGGTGTGGATCAATAGTCTCGGTCCATGAAACTCATAAAACTCCAAAATCAGACATAGGAACAAGAAGTACTGGATGTAGTATAGTCCAACTACTGGGTATATGATCCAATATGAGGTATCAGAGATAGGTGAATTTGTGTACACTGAAGAAAGTCTTAATGGACGTGGTTATAAATAAAGATGATTGAAACTGCATCCTGAGGTGCTTCCTGTAAACGCACCCTGCTCCACAGTATATCTCACCGCCATTGCATTATAATATTTCTTTTTTTCATCAATTGTAAAATGATTTTGAAGACAAAGGTTGTCAACCACCAGTAGGAATAACTGCAGTTTGAATGAGCAGAAATGTATATGCAGATGAGTGGTTTTGCGTCCTGAGGTGCTTCCCATGCGGACACCCTGCTGCATGGTGTTTCCCACTGATTGGTGTATGGAAATGTCCTTCCTCAGTCAGGCCCGGCACTACCGCAAGGCAAGTCAGGCTGCAGGGTGAGGGCGGAAAAAACAGGGCATTTTGACAAGTACTTGTACTTGTCAAAATGCCCCGATGTTTGCGCTATGGTTTTTTTTCTTCACTTACCTTCGGTGCGGGAGAGCAGCGGCAAGTCAGCGCTGGTCTGGTGGGAGGAGCTCCAGGTGGGGTAATAATTTAGCTGGTCGGCGACTGCCAGAGGTGCCGCGGGTGTCAGGATCCTCTGGTTGGTTGCGGGGTGGGGGGGGCGCAAAAATTTTACTTTGCCTGTGTTGGCAAGAATCCTAGCACCGGCCCTGTCCTCAGTTGTACAAGGATAAGGAAAGCAAAAACAGCAGAAAACCGGTGAAGATAATGGCATGCAGATCCACTTGGACAAAAATGTTAGCTAAAGAGTCAATTCAATCTGGTGTATGGTCACTATATAAAAGGCAAAAAACAAGTAGAAGTGGATCTCACCAGTGATGTCCATTTATCCTGAAACTCCTATGTCTATACGTTCAACAGTGTGAATGGGGATCCCCATGTTGTCTTCATGAAAAGAGCACTGGTTAAATACACCA